AGCACATACGTTACATGTGCGACATCAAAAGAAGGAGAAAATGACAAGAAACAGAGAGAAGAAAGCTCCTGTCAGAGTCTGCTCTGTGCACGTTGCACCGCAAAAGTGGAAAGTTTCCATGTCGCAGGTCATAAACTGTTTGACTGTTCAGTCCTGGGGCCTCATTTATAAAATGTTGCGTATAAACCGTCCTAAACTTGTTCTAAGATCATTTCTCAAAAGTGCGTAAGTGCGATTCAGAGAAAACTTTACTGAGTCTGAAATTGAGGTCCTGCTGGCGGAGGGAGAGGTTCGTGCGGGACGCTTTTTATTTAATAATGTGTAATTATTCTGTGGACAAACAATGTGTGTGTGGTTAAATTTTTTCTATTGACGATTATCAAAATTACTACTTCTAGAAACAACAGAAATAATAATAATAATAATAATAATAATAATGATAATAATTATGATAATTAGGTTTCCAAAAGTAAGAATAAACTGGATTCAAGTAAAATTTTCAGTCATCTTATAAAAAGTGAGCCATCCTACTTTTAAAATCACTTGCTATGACAACTAAAAAAAAGTTTAGTAGCACGAAATTCTTGCAAAACTTAAAAAAAAACAACAAAAAAAACACATTATTGAAAGAAAAATTGGACGTTTCATATCATAATAAAATAATTATTACACGATTATGGTCTCCGGACTGAAAAAAAAGCTGCATGTGATTTGGCATTTCTTTATATTTACACAGTTTACTAATGCTGCTCAAATGTGCCATTAATGTACTGACACAAAAATATATAGTGCATTTTATACAAATATAACTGATGTAAATGACAAAAACAAAGTTTAAGGCTGATGTCTCTATTAATTTTCACAGAAGCAAAGCAGCAGATGTTATAAATAAAAACAGCTAACAATGTTATTGAATAGAATATATTAAAACCCGTTATTGCATGACAAAGGCCTATTCTTATAGCCTACACAGACAAAACAGTCGGAAATGCGTTTATGCATTTTTTTTTTCTATTTTACGCATTAGTAGTAGCCTAAATCAAGACTTCGTAAGTTCTCTTGTAAAATAAAATAACAAAAAACAACAACATGGAATAAACTGTGTACAGAAAGCGAGTAAAGAACTCTCAACATTAGGCTACAAAAAGGTCAGTTTAATCTCGCAGAAACTCCCGTTAATAAAAAAATCTGACTACACTGCACAGTTAATCTCTTACACTGCATCTTTGTTGCTTATGATGAATTCGTCGCTTGCACGTACACCGCTTTTATTATTATTGCGTCTTAGATGTTCAATTAGCTGCAGTACTCCGACTTTGCCACAAGGAAAAGTGCGTAGGCCTGCTCAGACCCTGACGTGGCGGTAAGTACTTTTCCACGTCAAAGACCGTTTTTATAAATCTGAATGTTGCCGTGGATTTTAGCGTACGCACACTCTAAGATCAAATCTGTGCATACGCACATTTTATAAATGAGGCCCCTGATGTCCACCGCAACGTCAAACCTAGCTACTGTAAATGTGTTTGTTTTCAATGCTCGATTTTTAGATTTGTCAGCATGCAGCTCAAATGGACTGTTTTCAACATAAAAAAATGTTTGGCTTCATAAATTTCGACACTTATCGGTAACACAAAGTCTTTATGTATAATGCATTATAAAGGTGTTCAGAATGTATGTTGTAATGCATTAAATCTTTTCATAAATAATTGTTACCAGAGTTAAAATGCATTATAATATCTGAGGGTTTGTTTGCCGTGTGTTTTAATGCATTATACTTTATGAAGGTGTAACAACAATGCATTATAATGCATTGATTACAATTATTCATGAGCTCATACGTGCATTATAAGGTGCATTACAAGGCATAATTAATGCATTAAAACTACCTTTATAATGCATTATATATAAAGGCTTTAAGTAAAGTGTTACCAGTTTATCCTCTAAAATGTCTTACCAATCCACCTTGTTGTTCAATCACGTGTCAAATAGAGACACTTTTCACCATGCAATCAATTCAAGATGGACAAGTAAGATGACTTCTGAATGCATGATTTTGGTGTTTTGGCAAATCTAGAGGAGAAAGATTTGAGATTTCTGCTAATAGCTTTTGTCTTAAATGTGGTCCTAACTGAAATTACCATGGTTACCAAACAGATAAGATAAGATTTTAAAGTTAGGATCTTTCTGTAATACGCCCCCAGTCTCCATATAATCTCATTGCTTTAAATTGTAATACTAAAGCAAACTCCCTTATGATTTTCATTCCTATGGGACGTTGTTAGGACTGAACTTTTGGCCTCCTTCCTGGTGCTTTTTGCAATGAAATATCAAGGTTTTGCTTGCTTTATTGTAATACACACAAACAATAACACGCACATGATTGCACAATGAAACTGCATCTCTCTATCTCCATTACCGTATGTTTCATTAAGATTATATGACTGAGATATTCCTCGTAATGTGTGTCACAGCACGGAATGGTGGTTCTGGTTTCCAATTGTTCAATAATGATCTATCTGCCAATTCAACACTGGCAGAAACACCCGCCGCAATATGAATAAAACATAAACGGGGGGCGGCCAGGCAGTTTTACTGTATAGCTTTGCTTGTCAACTGCTTCTCAGAAAAGAAAAGAAAAAACGGATAATATGAGAAATGTTATAAATGGGTCTATACTTTCAGAAGCAACCACAAAAACCAAGAGATTTCAGGTCAGAGTCCACCATATGGATGTTGTACCGCGGTAAAAGCACATGAAGAGACGTTTAGCATTCATGTTCCCTGCTGTGTGAGACTGACTCATACATGTTATACCATAATGTCGTTTTCTTTCTTATGTTACAATATTTCTTTCATAACAGACCATGCAAAGTATGTAATGTTTTCAAATTAAGCAATAAGGCACATGAGGCTGTGCTTTAGCAGATATTGTCAAATAGCAGTGAGAACACACACACACACACACTCACACGTCTGGTTTGCTAACTTTGTGGGGACATTCAATAGGTGTAATGGTTTTTATACTGTACAAACTGTATTTTCTATTGCCCTACACCAACCCTACACCTAAACCTACCCCTCACAGGAAACTCTGCATTTTTTAGATTTTCAAAAAAATTAATTCTGTGTGATTTAATAGCTTGTTTACCCGTGGGGACCTGAATTTAGGTCCCCACCGTGACACGAGTCCTCATGAGTCTGTGTGTATTCAGGTTTAAGTCCCCACCAGAATAGAAAAACACACACACACACACACAAAATATAATTAAAACATTTATATATATAAACACACACACAAACACACATACATGCATACACACAGATATATTTGCATTTTTTAAATATTTTTTATGACAATTGAACACATTTTGATTACAAATTTGCAATATAATTTATAATTTAGTATAGTAATAGTATACAAATTGTATAGTAATGTATAGTAATTTGTATAATAATAGTATATTAATTTATAATTTTAATTTATAATTTTTAATTTTATAATTTTTATTTAATTTTTAATTTATAAGTCTTTTTATTATTTAAAAATATTTTTTATTTATATTGTACTTTTGTATTGTTTGTTGTCTTTTCCAGGGTTACCAAGTTCTGTTGTCGGAATCGTTTCATTTTGTTGAATCATTTTATTCCCCACTGAAAGGACAAACTCATTGCGGAAGTTTGAAGGTTGATTTTAACACCTAGTGTACATAAAAAAAACAACCACAAACATCTCATTTAACGTTTTTATTACGGACAAAATTAAACAAAAGGCATAGTGACACAAAATGACCTGGCTGGCAAGGAAAGAAAAAAAAAACGGCATTCAAAAAGTACAAATAAAAAATAAAAGCAATTGTCATCGTCATCATAATCAAAAAACAAAAAACAATAGAATTCAAATATTGTAGTTATAAGCAAAATTTATCTCATTTTGTTCATAAATAGAAACCTGTTAAACATTATTAAATATTAACTGATGGGCAACTTGTTGATAACAATTTTAAAATAATTATCATTGCTGACTTTACAAATAAAATAACTACAATTGGCAGGTTTGTACACAAATTAAATGTCTTAGAAGTTATTCTTTTTATTCAACTAAAAATAGTATGCTACAGTAGAAAAAAAGATTAAAATAAAACGTTCGACTAAATGATCAAATGTATTTTATTTTTTCCCACAAAACTTAAAGATGAGATCAACACAATAGAACATCTAGCAAAAGCTACTAGAAAACTATAGACCCACTGTTGTTTTACTGTGTGCTGTATTATCTCACATTGAGAACATTATAGTTCACCTTTACATGTTATATTGGTGGATTTAACGTCAGTCAAGACCAGGCAAAAGAAATGACCCGGGTTTCAACAGAACTACTGCTTCAGGCTTGAAACAAACTCTACGCAAGCACAAAAATGTGAAATGCGATGCATTATCTGCGTTGCCACAAGTGGCCATATTAACATAAACTGAAGAGAATCTTTCTGAATAATGAGGATTAATGGCACAAACATTTGGAAACTGCACTTGCAATGTGTCAGCCAAGTGTGCACGTCTGCGTACTTGCGTGAAGTATGTTTTTGGCCTTTGACCTGAAGCTGGAACATTTACGCTTCTATACGTCGCATGTAGAACCTGAGAGTAAATCGACAAAGCTGATCAAATCACCTCACGAGTTTGGCTGTGAACATGCTTCGTAAAACCATTCATTTGCGATTTTAGGGTTATGGAAGCCTATTTCTGCCACTGAATAAAAAAAAGGTAATTTCGACTTTTTATCTCACAATTCTGACTTTTTCCTTAGAGTTGTGTGATATAAACTTGCGAGTTTATATCTTGCAATTCTGATATTTTTTCTTGCAATTGTGACTGTCTCAGAATTGTATCTCGCAATTCTGAGATGAAAGTTAGAATTACAAGTTTTTATCGTGCAATTCTGAGAAAAAGTCAATTGCAATTGCAAGGAAAAAAAAAAGAATTGTGAAATAAAAAGACACAATTACATTTTTTATTTTGTATTCAGTGGTGGAAACAGACTTCCATACAGTCGTGCTTCAAAATCAGAAATGAGGCTCTGATGAATCGGGGAGCATAAATGGAGAGCCAGGTCATGCAGTCTGTCATGGTTTTTGCCATAGATCTTTTTTTGGGAAATCACACCAGTGAGCACAGATTTTAATGCAAGATTGTGTACGTTTGGAAACACTCTTCTGATATCACCTGCACAGGCTGTTCAGTTACACAACGCACAAATACACTCACACACGCTCATTCATACCGGCACGCATTCACAAAATACCATTTAAAATACAAATCAATGAATTATAAGTCATATTAAAGAAGAAAAAATATCTGGACTTCATCTTCCCTATTTGACCCCCAAAAAAGTGATATTTACAATCACACTGTGACAGATCAACAAAGACCTACACGGGTCTTTAAAATTACAAAAAGAAGTTGTATTTATCAATTTTCCCATTTGCGTATTTCTTTTTTCTTGACTATTTTTTTGCCTAAAATTCAAAGAGCATTAGTTGAACAGCAACGTATCGCCCTCAGAAGAGTATTTTCTCTAAAGTAAAGGACCTGTTGGCCAAAAGAAGCGCTATGTAGCAAGCAGGAAATAAATAAAAGTACAACAGCAAAACAAAAAAATTCTAATAAAATAAAAATGAGACCAGAGGGAAGGTAACTGAGAAACTACGAGGAGAGTTTTCCTCTGTTTTAGTTAAAGCTCATTTGCCCTGAGGGCCAGTTTAATGGTAGTTTGCTTTATTTTTATTTTTTTCCTTTTCGTTTTTGTTATATACATCTTTTTTTGTCGTTTTCTTTTAAATTTATTCAGAGACGGGGTGAGTGCTCTCTGAGGTCTCTGGCGGAGAGGCCTGTACATTTTTTAAGTGCTTGGCAAAAATGAAAGGATCACTAGTAGTCTTCACACACACATCCTTCTAAAAACGAATGAAAAATGACACTGAGGGAAACTGATGATGTCTGGGAAGGGTGGAGAGGTGCGGGGGACTCCCTGGTGTTGTTTCATCTTTTCTCTTTCCGTTCTCCTTGTTTTGCTTCAAGTGAGGTAGAGTGGCTTATCCCTGCCTATCATACTGCCACTGCGAAGCAATGAGAAACAAATGAGCGTCAGGAAAACGTTAATGTCTTGCTTTTTAAAAAAACTCCAAAAGTTCTCTTGAGAGAATTTTCAGCCAAAAATGACAATTGTGTCATTATTGACTCACCCTCATGTCACTCCACACCAAAATTCAAACCAATCCATCGAACAAAAATAAAGATATTGGCCAAAATGTCTGAGCAACCAAAAAAAGCCTCAACATCGTAACATCAATCCTAGGGCTGTGATGAAGAAAACGCATACGGAATTGCAGAATCCAGTCATAAAAATGGAATTTACTGTAAAACACGGAATGTCACGGAATTTTTCAAATTTTGGATGAATAAATCAAAATAGGGTCAGTACATTTAAATCACGACATTGACTTGTATTATTGAATTATTGAGATTTTTTTTGTAAAAACTGAATAAATTAAGTTAGTTGTATGAATTAGAAATGCTTTTTGATTATTAATTAACCATTAAAATGGAATCCAGAAAAAAAAAAAACAGAAAACACAGAATTTGTAAAAAAAAAAAAAACGGAATTTGAGAGAAAAATAAAAAATAATTCACAGGGCCCTAAAAATGTACTTTTTGGTAAACTTTTAATAAATTGATGTAAAATTGTATTGATTTAACCATTAAACGGAGCCCAGAAAAATTAAAACCGAAAAAAAAAAATGTAATCCAGAAAAATTACAATGGATAGAAAATGGAAATAAAATGGAATTTGAGAAAAACGTAAAAAGGATTACAGTAATCCATAACACCTGTGCACTGTATTCACTCAAAGTTTTCTTCAGATCTATCATATGACTTTAGAACACTGAAAAAACTGCTCATGAGTCATATGGACTGCAGTCATGAAACTTAAGATGTTTTTTGTCAATACTTTAGAGCAGTGTGAACATTCGGCTAAATATCTACTTTTGTGTTCGACATAAGAAAGAAAGTCATACAGGTTTGGAATGACATGAGGTTGAATAAATAATGACAGAATTTTCATTTTTGTGTGTACTAGTCTTTTAACTTTGTTATTGTATGTGTTTTTTTTGCATTGCATTGTTGTATTACACAATAAATAATTCATGCCGCACTGCTGTGAAACCACACATGCTGCTTGCACACGCTCAACGAGTCCCCTGATACTATGACACACGTCTCGTGGGACAAGCGCAGTTAGCATCGTAACAAACACACTGTTTACCTGCAGTGGTTTCCGCCGCATTCCCGGTTGCAGTACTCGCTGTCCCAGTCGGGGTTCTGGCCCGCTGGGTTCGGAGCCCCTGGAGACTGAGACCCCCCCACGCTCTTCTGATACTCGGACTGTAAGTGAGAGAATCCCTGGGAGAGAGAGAACACGCATACAGTATATTATTAGCATTTTTAGGCCAGAAACATATGCAAGTATGCAAACATGAATGCTTGGCCAATGCAATGCAAGTGTGAGGCCCTGATTTACATACTTAACATACAAAACTGTAATTTTAAATAAATTCTGAAAATGTAAAGCATGCTATTTAAACATTTAAAATGCATTCTAAGAATTAAACCTATAATTTATTTCTCACTTCTCATTTTCTCACAGCTGATAAAATGTTCTCTTTTATTGCTTCACTGCAGGGAGGTGCTAAACGCTGATGGTGCTTTGGAAAATCAGACCTTTTCACTTCACACGGCGTCTTTTGACAAAGACAACACCTTCAAAACAACACATCCTCCACCCCAGTTCTCACTTCATCTCATTTCACCTCACACTGCAACCGCACGCTTAAGATGACCTGTCCTTTTCCAACTTAATTTGGTAACACTTTCCCAACAAGATTATTTCCTGCTAAAACTTTGATCACCACTATTACTGTCTTAAACAAAAACCAGGGGATAAATACTGTGTGTTTCATTGGTTTTCCACATAAAAATAATTTTTTAATTGACGAAAATTACACTTTAGATCATGGCAAGTTTGGAATGGAATACTACCATACTGTTCACTGCACACTGCAAATATACACTGCATGCTATTTTTTTTCTCCAAAATAGTCATTTCAATTGTAGCATCGATAAATGTTACTATGGCCATGTTTGGAATATATGTTATATTGTATAATAATAATAAAAAAAAAAAACTATTAAGAGCGGTATGCAATGATAAACATTTCTAAAGTTATATTCACTGCATACTGTGCATTACATACTACAATCTTTTTTTCCATCTATGCAACAATAAATGTCCCCCCCCCCCCAAAATAGTAAACTGTAGCATTGATAAATGTTAATATGGTCATGTTTGGAATGGAATGGAATTTGTTATGTATTGTATAAATAAAAAAAAATACTATAAAGGGCAGTATGCAATTATAAACATTTCTAGAATTATATTCACTGCATACTGTGCATTACATAATATATATTTTTTTGCACTAGGCAACAATAAACTTTTCTAGGGCTGTTTACAATTAAACACTGTAGTACTGTTTATTGCATACATAGAGTTTGCATTGTATACTTCTTATTATTTAAAAAAAGTAGTATGTGACACACTATGCAACAATAACAGTAAAGTGCCAGACAGTAGTATGAAACCTCATGTTTAAATGAGCAAATGACGTCCAGTTATCATTTCTGGAAAAAACATGTCATTTGCCTTTAGAAAACCAAATGAACGCTGGAAATGGAAGGTCAAGTTGAGCGCATTGCATTATAGGATACAGTTGTACAGTTGCACATTGTTGTACAGTTGTACACAAAGCAGTCATAAGTCGCTGGGGTATATTTGTAGCAATAGCCAACAATACATTGTATGGGTCAAAATGATACATTTTTCTTTTATGCCAAAAATCATTAGGATATTAAGTAAAGATCATGTTCCGTGAAGATATTTAGTAAATTTCCTACCGAAAATATATCAAAACTTAATTTTGGATTAGTAATATGCATTGCTAAGGACTTCATTTGGACAAGTTTAAAGGTGATTTTCCCAATATTTAGATTTTTTGCACCCTCAGATTCCAGATTTTCAAATAGTTGTATCTCGGTCAATTATTGTCCTGTCCTAACAAACCATACATCAATGGAAAGCTTAATCATTCAGCTTATTCATGTATAAATCTCAATGTCAAAAAATGGACCCTTATGACTGATTTTGTGGTCCAGGTCACATTTTAGCAAATTTCTATGCACAGTATTCAATGGCAGTGTGCCGTTCCAGTCGCACCCCATAAACACAAGCACGTGCGGTGTTTCGCAGCATGCACACTAACCTGCTGTCCTGGGGGTGGGGAGTGCAGCGGAGCCTGGAGGCCCATCTGGTGAGAGATGATTGGCTGCGACTGGACTTGCTGCATGCGGATTGGCTGGTTGAGGAGGGAGCCCTGGTGCAGAGAGAGCTGCTGGTGGAGGGGAGGGCTGATCTGGAAGGACGCTGGGGGGGAGGCACTGAGCGCGGGCAGCATGGCAGAACGGGGCAGGCCGTGTCTGGGAGCCCCCACCGCGTAGCTCTGGAGGTCCGAGAGGGGGAAGGGGCTGGGGCCCAGGTACGGGGAGGACGTGTCTGGGAGCCCCCGCTGCATAGCTCTGGAGGTCCGAGAGAGGGAAGGGGCTGGGGCCCAGGTACGGGGAGGAGGGCTGGGGCGGGACGCTGTACAGGGGGGCGTTGGGGGGCATCATGTGTGACGATGCCTGACTAGACTGGGCGCTTTTGCTCTCCACTGGGTCACTGTAGGTCTGACAGAGAGGAAGACAGAGAACGTACACATCATATTTATGCTAGTGCAGGGCAATGATTAATAGCAATTAATTACATCCAAAATAAAAGTTTTTGTTGATTTACATTTAGTCATTTAGCAGATGCTTTTATCCAAACGACTTACAAATGAGCACAATGGAAGCAATCAAAATCAACAAAAGAGCAATGATATGCAAGTGATATAACAAGTCTCAGTTAGCCTAACGCAGTACACATAGCAAGGTTTTTTTATTTTTTTATTTTTTATTATATAATAAATAAAAAAGAAAACAGATAGAATAGAAAAAGAATAGAGCAAGCTAGTGTTAGAGGCCTTTTTTGCTTTTGTTA